TTCGAGGGGATGGAGGGGGCAGTACGAAGTAGGGTTTCTATTTGGCATAGCCATAATTTTTTTCTCCAGAGTCTGCTCGTAGATGAATGACTCGTAGTACGCTGTTTGCAAATATCAAATATTTAAGCTACCGGTAATTCATAGTCCCTCAGCACGTACATATTACCGCCTACCACAGTGAAGACTGTATATTTTACCTCGAGAATTGAATTTGGATAAACTGAGTTAGTCTACATTCCCTCTTATGGGTCGATGACCTGTGACCAGTTGTGCTAGTTGGTGGAGGTGATCCAGTTTTTTGGCTCGTACAAAAAATGTTTACGCGCCATGTGTCGATATGGATTACTCCAAGTTGGCTTCATCGTTACGACTATCACTTTTTTCTGAATCGAGAAAGGAACATAAAGGCGAACGTGACGCATATCGAGATTTATTCTTCATGAATACTATTATTAGCACAAGAATGCTGAGTTGTAACAAAACTTTCGCCCCAGGCGGGATTCGTACCCGGATCTCTTGCTTTCCGGGCAAGTGTGCTACCAGTTACACCACCGGGGCACCATTTCATCCCAACTCAGTTTCGATGGTAAATTTACCATAGCTTACCTTCATTCACATCATCTTTCATCATCGTAACTGTGAACCGGTTAGCAGATATTGGCAGTGAACCTTTTGAATCGTTTTGTTAAAGAACTGCTATTTTATGCCGTAGTTAGCATTGCGAAAGCTATCACAAGAAGCTGAGCTGAGTTATTGGCAAAACATTCGCCCTAGCCGTGATTCGAACTCGTACCTTGCTTTCCGGACAACTGTGCTACCAGTTGTTATAGTTATCATTTTTCTTGACGCTTTAAACTATTTTTTTGGTTACGTTTGATTCAAACATGAAGCTATATTCGTCTTTTCAGCTTTTGGCCACGGTTGTCGTACATGTGTGGTGCCACTTTCTTGGTCTCTATCTTCATTTGTCAGTGGATCGACTCACTCGTTCCGCTTTTCTCAGCGGTAGAAATGCCGTGGAAGCAGAGCACGCCGCAGAACATCAGAGCAATCGATTGGTCAGTGGATTTAATTCAATATTTAGTAGTTTTTGTTTCATAATTGTGAGAGAATGTGGCCTCTCTTTTGTGGTGATTTGATGACATATGGTTTTCATTCTCTCGGGTTATCTCTTTATGGTCCAGTTGAATACATTTAAAAGCTAGACGAATCACAGAAAACAAGTTGTGGGCGTTCAGGTAGGGAAAATCATTTGATTATGCGAAACATCTTGCCGATTTCTTTTTTTCCTTTAGAGTGTTTTCCTATTTCTTAGCAATTTCTTTGTCACATTAGGGAAAGGCACCAGCATAAAAAGTCTATATTAAAGAAAATATTGGTTATGAATGCAATTTACTCAGTTCTCTCCTTCGTACTAGTGAAAATAA